TCATTTACTAATCCCTCAAAACCTACACAACTCTTTGGGTCTTAACCCCACCCTGCTTCTCTTTTGTCTCATTCTTCTCTGACTTTCCATATTCTCATCACCTTCTCCTGATTTCATTCTGTGTCTCTCTCCATACTTATATATTCTTCCTTTCCTGTTGTTCTTTCATCTTTTTTTCTGTTTATAACTTTTATTTTTCCATTATGCTTCCTTTTTTATGTATTCCCCATATGTCTATTTTTGTCTCTCTTTTTCTTTCTTTTCTGTGTCCCAGCAGGCACCATTCATCTCCATCTGCCTTTTTACTCTCACCCTTTCCCCTGCTATTTCTTGTCTTTTCTTTTTTTTTTTTTTTTTGAGACAGTCTTGCTCTGTTGCCCAGGCTAGAGTGCCATGGTGTCAGCCTACCTCACAGCAACTTCAAACTCCTGGGCTCAAGTGATCCTCCTGCCTCAGCCTCCAGAGCAGCTGGGACTACAGGCACATGCCACCATGCCCCGCTAGTTTTTTCTAGTTTTAGTAGAGACAGGTCTCGCTCTTGCTCAGGCTGTTCTTGAACTCCTGAGCTCAAGCAATCCTCCTGCCTCAGCCTCCCAGATTACAGGAGTGAGCCGCCACACCCTTGCTATTTCTTAATTTCCTTTGTGAATACCCAGTGTCTTCTATTTTTCCAGTTTCTTTCTTGCTACCTATTCCTCTAACTGCCCATGATGCAAAACGGAAGTATGCTTGTTTAATGTCCTCTCTGTGGCTCCAGATGGATTATGTCTCCATGTCTGTGGTCCTTGAAAAGATGCAGAATAAATATCATTACTCATGGCACTGAGAGTTGTCATTCTCATTGTACCTAGATTGTGTTACAATTTTATAAAAATGTACAATATATGCTGAAGTATTTTTGTAAAATGTATTTCTGCACATGAGACTACTAAAGCCCAGGCTATGTAATACTTAATCTCAAATCTACATATCTTCCTCATTGATTTTAGAATTCTTGATTAAGAAATGCTCCAAACTATGTCAAAATTCTTCTCAAGTATTTTTCTGTTGATGATTTGTGTACACAAAGGAAGACTTGTTTATTGGCCTTGCTGCAACCAATTATTACAGCTGCAATAAAGTGTGCCATCTGGCAGAAACACTCCCATGATTTTGGAACTTAAATAATGATTTAGACAAATGCCAAGGAAGAAAATTTCCCAAATGACTTAGCAACTTCTTCAAGAAATTGGAAAATAAACCAAAAAATAGATCAGAGGAAAGATATAGCAAACTCATAGATAACAACAAAAATACGGGAGTTAGAATCCAAAAGGTGGTTCATTGAAAAATAACATAAAATAGATATAACAATAGCTAAACTAATTAAGAGGAATAAAAGGGACAAATTCAAATACACAAAATAAGAATTGGTTAAATAATCAGAGAAAGAGAAAGAATTACAGGAATCACAACAGACTACTTTGTTCAAGTATGGCCAAATAAATTCTGAAAAATGGGATGAAATAAATAATATTCAAAGAAAATATAATTTGCTAAAATTCAGTTAACAAGAAAGAAAAAGATCTAAAGAGATGATATTAAGATTGATATTCCAGATACTTTTACAGCAGAGGCTTTAAACAATAAGAATTGGATCTAGCTATACAGGTATGTGCATTCTGGCTGAATATCAGCCTTGCTAATAGCTATAGAACATAGAGAAATTGGGGAGGCCTTACCAGGAATAGCTGATATTAGGTGAGCTCATTCATGCAGCTGTATTGAGCTGGCAACTGGGCTGGGCTGTAAGGTTCAAGATGGCCTCCTAGAATGTCTAGGTCCTTGCTGTAGGCTGCCAGGTGGGGTACTGATTCTTTTCCATGTGACCTTTCTTTTCATGTGGTGTTTCATATCCCAAGGCCTCTCTCTCCCACAGAAAATCGTGATGACCAGTGATATTAAGCATTTTTTCATATACCTATTGCCAATTTTATGTCTTCTTTGGAAAAATGTCTATTCGGTTTTTTAGTCTATTTTTAGTAGAGTGATTAGTTTCTTACTTTTATGCTTGATACTGAGTTATAGGAGTTCCCTGTATATTTTGGAGATTAACCTTTTATCATATATATGTTTTGCAAATATATCGTCCCATTCTGTAGGATGCCTTTTCATTTTGTTGATTGTTTTCTTTGTTGTGCAGATTTTTCGATTGATGTAATCTCACTTGTTTATTTTGTTTTTTGTTGCCTGTGCTTTTGGTGTCATACCCAAGAAATCATTGCAAAGATCAATGTCAAAAAGCTTTCCCCCTGTGTTTTCTTCAAGGACTTTTACAGTTTCACTTCTTATGATTAAGTCTTTAATCCATTTTGAGTTGGTTTTTGGTATGGTACAAGATAAGGGTCCAATTTCATTCTTTTGCATGTGATATCCAGTTTTCCCAGCGTCACTTATTAAAGAGACTATCTTTTCTCCTTTGCATATTTGGCACTCCTGTAAAAGATCAGTTGATCATATGTGCATGGATTTATTTCTGGGCTCTCTTTCCAGTTTCATTAATCTAAACATCTACATATATGCCACTCCCATACTCTTTTGGTTACTGTAGCTTTGTAATATATTTTGAAATCAAGAAATGTGATGCCTCCAATTTTGTTCTTCTTTCTCAAGATTGATTTGGCTATTCATGATGTTGTTATTTCTATTTCTTTAACAAACGACATTGGGTTTTTTATTCTATTGAATTTGTGAATCCCTGGATAATATGGACATTTTAGCAATATTGTCTTTCAATGCATGAATACAAGGTATCTTTAATTTGTTCCTCTAGTCTTTAATTTCTTTGAACAATGTTTTATAGTTTTAAATATAGAAGTCTCACATCCTTATTTAAATTTGATTCTAAGTATTTTATTCATTTTGACACTATTGTAAATGTGACTTGTTTTCCTAATTTCTCTTTCAGATAGTTCATTGTTAGTGTATAGAAATGCAACTGATTTTGTTTGTTGGTTTTGTATCCTGCAACTTTACTGAATTCTTTTCATAGTTCTGACAGTTTTTTGATGGAGTCTTTAAGGTTATCTATATATAAGATCATATCACATGATCAATGACAATTATACTTCTTATTTTCTGATCCAGATGCCTTTTATTTTTTTCCTTTTCTAATTACTATGGCTAGGACTTCCAGGACTATGTTGAATGGAAAGAGCAAGAATGGGATCCTTGTTCCTAATATTAGAAGAAAAGCTTTCAGTTTTTCACCATTGAGTATGATGTTAGCTGTGGACTTTTCATATATGGCTTTTATTATGATGAGGTATATTTCTTTTATTTCTAAATTTTTTCATGGTTTTTATCATGAAATGGTGTTGAATATTGTCAAATACCTTTCCAGCATCTATTGAGATGATTATGTGATTTTTATCCTTCATTATGTTAATGTGGTATATCACACTAATTAATTTTTATATGTTGAACCATCCTTGCATCCCAGGGATAAAACCTACTTGGTGGGTGTATGATCCTTTCAATATGCTGTTGCACTCTATTTGCTAGTAATAAAAAGAGGGGGGAGATCATAGAAAGGAAGAAAATCACACAATACAGCAGACTTTACAAACACAATAATATACTGTGGCAATAGCTATAAATGATAAGTGATTTTGAACTGAGAATTATATATTTACCCAAATTACCACTCATTTGTAAAGGAAAATACAATATATTTAAAATATTTACCAGACATTTGAAAAATCTAGTAATACTTCAGTCGAGTGAAAAAATAAATAAAAATAAATACCTAAGAATGTATCATGTGTAACCTAATTATCTGTACCCCCACAATATGCTGAAATAAAATTAAAAAAAAAGAATGTATGTTTTCCGTAACAGGAATAAAACTTATAGTTAAATCTGTGTTTGCAGATACATTATCAGCAATTATATACACCAACTAAGTTTATTCACTAGATTAAATTTCTCTAAGCAAAAACAAAGGGCTCTTAGATTAGACTGTAAAAAGACACAAAGGCAAAGTCAATCAAATGCAATGTATAAGACATGGGCAAGATGTAGCAGGTGCAATCGACAAAAAGAAATCAGGAATGGCAAAATCAAAATCAAAATTTCAGTACAATCCAACTATCAGTCACAGTCTACCAAGAATGAACTGTTCAAGACAGCACCAAAGCATATCAAAAAATGAATTGATAGAATTATAAAGAAAGCTGACTCCATAGCGAATTTGTCAAAATTAATAGGATAATATAGCATAATATGCTCTTTTAATGACTTGGGTTAAAGAGTAAATTCTGGCTTGATTAAAGCTTTAAAAGATTTAAAAATGGAAAACAGTGCTCATGTTATTTATCAGCAGAGTGATTTTTCACCTATTTTTTAATCTATCAGAAGGGTGACAGTGTGAAAAATATATAAGTATGTTAAAATGGTAACAGGGATCCTAAGAATCAGAAATAAATCCACCATTTGAACAAATAGCAGATAAATCTAAAAATTATTCACTTAAATAGATCTTTCCTAAGGTCAAGTTTTCCGGAAGTCCTTAGAAGTAAATTTAAAGATATTTATGAAAGGTTGAAGTATAACATTTAATACTTATCCTCATAATTATCACTTGTTGAGTGATTACTATGTTCAAGACTCCAAGTTTGACAAATTAAATAAACATTAAATATGTATGTATATTTATTTGAATGTACACATACATATATAAAATGAATAGTCTTAAAATTTCAAATATTGAATGATATAATTTGTTTTGATTCACTATACTTCACACATAAGAATTACATTAACATTGATTTGTATTATAAAATAATAACTATGTTAAACATGAGGAAACAATTTCTCAGAAGAGAGGAACTTGCTTATGACTAGCTAATATTTAAATTGAAGAAGAGAAACTGAGTTAAATAATGTGACACATGATTATCTAAAATTTATGTAAGTTTGAAATGTAATGTATTAGAATAATAGATCTAATAGTGCCTCACCTTACAGTAAAATGTAGAACTCTCTTTTTCATGGACTCCTGCTTTTTATTCAGATGTTTCATTTGATCCCCTTTTATAGATGGTTTCTTCAAAGGAAGGACACAGGCATCAGTGGAGGGAAAGAATAGTTTGGAAAGTGCATTGGCAATTCTCCATCCAATGTATTTGGAGAAAACTTCTTCCCCTACATTTGATGAAGCTTTTGTACTATACCTAGTGAAAGGATCGGTTGGGTCATTTAACTCAGCCTGTTGAAAGAAAAGAAAAAGGAATCAATTGAAATAGGATTAAATGAGAGGAAAAATGTATTATTCAATAAAAAGTAAAAATATATTTTTATTTTCGTTGACTAATGTTGCATTGATTCCTGTTTAATAAAATTAACCTTTATGAGAAAAAATATACAGTTTTCCAAAAGATTTTAAAAATCCAAACAATTGTCAGTGAAATAAACAATTAAGCATTAATGCATCCAGTCTTAAAATGTTGAAAATTTAATAATATAATTTTAATTTTAAATTTGGTATACTTGCCACACAAGAATTTCATGAACATTTATAAAATTTACTTAATAAGAAATTAAGCAATCAAATGAAGTAATGTACATTTTAAATCAGACTCATTTTTCTATGCACAATCTCAACTTTTCTTTATGTCAACAGAGCATTTCTATAGAACAAAATTTGTAAGTGAAAAACAAACAAGAACTTTGTATTTATCTTAAATTGAAGACATTTTAGGATTTAGATTTTGATTAAATTGAATATGTTCAAAACATAAAAAAAAATGTAAAAATTCCACAACAGTTAAGCAGTCTTTATTCAGGAATGAGCTACATTCTGAATTTTCCTATTTATGTTTGATAATGTCCATGACTGATTTTTTAATTACTTCTTTTGAAATAGCCAGAGGCATGTTTTCCTTGGCTGTAACCAGTAATAATAAATGAAAATGTAAGTAAAATGGTATGCTTTATAATTTCTTTTTATGTTCACAATATGTTTATACTGGAAACCCTTTTTCCTATAAATAAGTCAGATGCTGCTTCTTTTCATTTAAAGTTTTACATTTTTTATTGATTATTATCTATCTTGATGCAGCTTGTAATGTCACTCAGTATTCATTTTAGATGCCTATCAATCCTGTGGCAGAAAATGTAGGAATGGAAAATGTTTTTCTACGTATGAATATCTAACTTAACCTCTTTAGGATTTCAAGATAGGGCTTGGCTCAATTAAATTACTGTTGAAAGATTCACTATTGCATTATCTAGACAAAATTATAGTGGAAAGAACGACAACGACTGAAAAAAGGGGTTAAAGCAATGAGAAAATATCAAAAGGGAAGTAAGCAAGTACATTACTTTGAAATCTACAGAGAATGGGAAAAAATAACATTCTTACTCACAAGTACCACCCACCATCTCAGAGATTGGGGGACCCAATACAATTCACCCTGTTGGGAAGAGGTGAAGACAGCAGGACATAGGCAACCTAAGGGGACACTGTGTATTAGGAGAGAAACAAAAGTTATAGATAGCATGATCTGTGAGGGGTCTCCCTCTTCCACCTCAGATGTCTGGAGTGATCAGAGAGCTACTCAGAGTCTGTGCAGGGACATTCCACTAAAGAACAGGTGCTGCAGAGATCTGGTGGCTGCCAATACCAGGCTTCTGCCATTGACGACATGCTGATCATTCTGGTGCACAGAGCCAGGTCCACTTCGGACCCAGCCATCCAGTAGTAAACATAACATCACCCCGGCCAGGCAAGGAGGGAATAGACACTCCCCTAAAAAACTCAATACAATCCATATCAAATTACCAAAGTTGTACTTCATAGTACAACTATGCTTTGTTTGGAACCAGGAAAGAGCCTGAATAGACAAAGAAGGTCTAAGCAAAAAGAAAAGGCATCACATTACCGCACTTCAAACTATTCTACAAGGCTATAGTAACCAAAACAGCATGGTATTTGTATAAAAATAGAGATACAGACCAATGGAACAGAGCAGAGAACCCAAACATAAAATCATCTACCTACAACCAACTGATCTTTGACAAACCAGACAACAACATACACTGGAGAAAAGAATCCCTATTCAATAAATGGTGATGGGAAAATTGGATAGTCACATGCAGAAAAATGAAACAGGACCCTTACCTCTCACCACTCATAAAAATTAATTCAATATGGTTAAAAATATTTAGATTTAAAGCATGAAACCATAAGAATTCTAGATGAAAATGTAGGAAAAACTCCTCTAGATATCGTCCTAGGCAAAGAATTTATGACTAAGAACCCAATGGCAATCGTGGCAACAACAAAAATTAGTAAATTGGATTTGATTAAACTAAAAAGCTTCTGCATAGCTAAGGAAACAATCAAAATAGCAAATAGACATCCTACAGAATGGGAGAAAATATTCACAAGCTACACATCTGATACAGGGCTAGTAACCAGAATCTACAAAGAAGTAAAGCAAATCAGCAAGGAAAAAAAAACTCAGTTAAAAAGTGGGCAAAAGACATCAACAGGAGCCTCTCTAAAGATGAAAGACAAATGGTCAATAAACATATGAAAATATGCTCAACATCTCTAATCATCAGGGAAATGCAAATTAAAGCCACAATGAAATATCACCTTACCCCAGTTAGAATGGCTTTTTTAAAAAAAAGTCCAGAAACAATGGATGCTGGCATGGATGCAGAAAGAAAGAAACACTTATATACTGTTGGTCAGAATGTAAATTAGTTTAACCTCTGTGAAAAACAATATGGAGATTCCTCAAAGAACTAAAAGTAGACCTACCATTTGATCCAGCAATTCCATTACTGGGTATCTACCCAAAGGAAAAGAAGGTCATTTTACCAAAAAGATACCTGCACTCAAATGTTTATTGTAGCACAATTCACAATTGCAAAGATATGGAATCAACCCAAGTGTCCATCAATTCATGAGTGAATTAATAAAATGTGGTATATGTATACTGTGGAATACTACTCAGCCATAAAAAAGATGAATTAAGGCCTTTTGCAACAATCTGGATGGAACTGGAGACCATTCTCCTAAGTGAAGTATCTCAAGAATGGAAAAGCAAACACCACATGTATTCACTACTGACTTAAAACCAACCAATGAGTCTTTGGGGTTTTCTAGATATAATATCATATCATCGGCAAAGAGCGAGAGTTTGATCTC